GGATGCATCTGCCTTGGATCTTCGGAAACCTGCAGAAATAAGGAATCGAGATAGCTCAAGATACCACGCACGTGGTGCTTGCTTAAGGCCATTGATTGCCTTTTGAAGCTGACACACATGCGTGGGATGTGATGAGTCTTTGAATCCCGGTGGTTGCAACATGTAAACTTCTTCTGTCAACGAGTCATGGAGGAATGCATTATTTACGTCCAATTGACGTAAGGGCCAGTGGCGAGAGAGAGCTATGGCAAGGACAATGCGTATAGTAGCCAGTTTAGTGACCGGACTTAAAGTTTCGGCACAGTCACGACCAGCCTGTTGCAGGAATCCACGGGTAACAAGCCGTGCCTTGTACTGTGCAATACTGCCGTCAGCATTCCTTTTGATACGAAAAAGCCATTTGCATGATATCGGTATATGATTGTCACGGGGGACGAGAGTCCAAGTATGATTACAGTTAATAGCCTCCATTTCTTCTTGCATGGCCAGACGCCACTTAGGGTCTGCTAAGGCTTCTTTCACACTCGTTGGTTCCAAGACAGGTTATATGGGATGAGTGGTGATGTAGTTGACAAATTGACTCCCAAAATATTTGGGGTTAGGAATACAGTGACGGGTAGGACGAGAATGGGGAGGATGCGTAGGTGAGGGTGGTGAGGATGTGGATTGTCCGTTGGATATATTATGCATGGAAGAAGTTGGAGTAGTGGTTTGATACGTGGAGTTATGTTCCAAGATAGGAGGAGTGATATTATTATTATTATAATTATTATTATTATGAGGAGAGGTTATTGCTAGTGGACTCAATTGGTGTGATGAGTCAATATTGGTGGGGGGAGTGTTGGGGAGTTCGGCAGATGATGATAAGTTTGAATTTTGGGTGGAGTTATTATTGGGAGGGATAAAATAGAATTTGAATTATTGTTTTGGTTGCCTGGGAGTGCGGATGGAGTGATAAGATTAGGTGAGGAAGTTATTAGTGGAGGGTGAGCCACACTAACAGGAGGAGATGGGGAACACATGACTGGATTAGGGGTGGGTATGCATGGAGTGCATGGTGAATAAGGATTTTGGAGATGAGATGGCATGTCACGAAACGGATATATATCAGGAACAAATTTTACATGCCTACTAATGTATATTTTATGCTGATATATATCAAGACAAAAATAAGCAGACTGAGACAATGAATAACCTATGAACACACACGGTATTGATCGGGGCTGAGTTTTATGATGCATATATGGTCGTAACCACGGACAACACAAACATCCAAATGGTTGTAATTTAGTGTAATTTGGATGGGTTTGATAAAGACGAAAGTATGGGGTATCATTGTCAAGGACCGGGGTAGGGAGACGATTGATTAAATAAACAGCAGTTTGAAATGCAAACGTCCAATATTTTATTGGAAGACCAGAATAGTGAAGCAAAGACTGTCCAATTTCAACATTATGACGGTGCCTCCGCTCTGCTAGTCTATTATGTTCAGGTGTATGAGGCGGAGTAGTCATATGTGAAATTCCATGAGTGTTTAGATAGACACGTAATGTGATGAATTCACCCCCATTGTCAGAAAAGAGTGTAGTAATTTGATGATTAAAGTATTTTTCCACCAACCGATGGAATTGTGGAAACACATTGGTGACATCAGATTTTTGTTTAAGTGGATATAACCAAATGTAGCGGGTGAAATAATCAACAAAAAAACATAATACTTGCATCCATCAACGGATGGAGTAGACATACTCCAGACATCAGTGTAAACAAGTTCTAAAGGACGGTGAGTGCTCATAGAATTAAGTCAATTAACAAAGAACGGTAATTTGGTGCTTTTATTGACTGAACAAGACATGCAATGGAACGAAGTAACATGATTACATGGGAAAATATTTTTGTTTTTATTCATTAAAAACGTAAAAATACGACTAGATGGATGACCCAGGATATGATGCCACTGAGACGGAGCAAGACGTTGAATATGATTAAGCTGATGATCTTGAATACTGGACGCATAGTAAACATCATTACTGCTCTCCCCACGGAGTAATGGCACCCCCGTGACCTGATCCTTGACAAGAAAATAATTAGAGAAAAATTCAACAGAGACGTTATTAGTTTTGCATAATTTGGCTACGGAAATGAGATTTTTGTTTAAATGAGGAACACATAATATATGAGAGAGGGTGAGGGGACGGGTGGGTGTGGGTTGGGTGGAAGAACTAGTATGAGTGATTTTAAGGGCCTTACCATCACCTAAGTGGACTTCATCCGGACCACCATATTCAGCATATGTAGGTAGACGAGTTGCATCATTAACAACATGATGAGAGGCTCCGCTGTCAAACATCCAAGACTGATTTTGTGGAACGGACGGAGCAGCAACATAATTGACCATCGGATTGTTGGACGAGGTGGGATGGAGAATATGATTACCACGAAGAAACCTTTGCAATTTTCTGCACTATTGGACTATGTGACATATGTTGTTGCAGAAACGACATGTAGGTTGACCTGCATGTACTAGCCGGTTGGATTGATGAGGTGGGCCACCTCGTCCCCTCCTGAATGAATTACCTCTGCCACGACCAGTGGCGGATCCAGGATACAAAATTATTGGGGGCGGGGTAAAAAAAAATGCATCAAAAAAAATTAATAAAGTATTAATGTAATAGTACAATAATTTTAACAAAATACATCACACTTGTTCGCGCCCAGTTTTAATCTTTTGGAAAAGATTCATTACAATTTCATTTGTAACAGTTTCAAATTTCAATAAAAGTTTTAACAAAATACATCACAATTAACTTTTGTAATACATTAATACATTTTATTTAACTACCTAAAGTAACATATTATTTATATTTAGTGTTTCTAACATATTAAATGCCATTTTGTAATTTATAATTTCTAAGTGTAAAATATTACATTAATAGATGGGTAACTATTTCGGAAACACACCAATTGAATTTAATCTAACTGATCTTTCTAAAATATTAAATCCGATTCATTTAAATAAATAACCCTATAATAAATTTTTAACATTATTATCAGTTTAGTAATACTATTTAGGAAGTTTTTACTTGGATTGTTTTCAATCCCAGACCAGATCAGACCTGACTAAATAGACCAGACCAGACTTAAACAGACCAGATCGGACTTAAATATACCATACCAGACTTTACTTGCGTAGTTATAAAATAAACAAAGACAAAAAATTTACCAGACCAGATCATACTTAAACAGACTAGACCAGTAAATTGTAGTCCAAGTAAAAACATCTTTAATATTTATATTAGGGAAAAGGGACAAATAAGCCCACGTACTAATAAAAAAGGTCAAATAAGTCCTTATTTAGAAGACTCTGTCCGACCGTCAAGATTTGGGGTGGTTTCCGGTGGAAGTTTTTGATGAATTTTTTTGAGCATCTTATTCATTGAGTCTAGTTTTCTCATACCAAATTTTATCTAACAATTCAATCGAGAAGACATTCAAATTAATTCTTGAAGATAACTGCGTTTTTAACTGCACAATTATCTTCAAGAATTCATGTGAATGTCTTCGCGATGGAAGTTTTAGCTGAAATTTGGTATGCATAAACTAGACTGAATGAATAAGATGCTAAAAAAATTTCATCAGATAATTCCTTTGGGAACCGCCCCAAATGAGGACAACCCGACAGAGCCTCCTAAATAAGGACTTATTTGACCTTTTTTTGTTAGTACGTGGGCTTATTTGCCCATTTTCCCTTTATATTAAATACGAAAAGTAAACAATATATAAAGTCATAAAACAACTATACGGAGTACTAAACTAGAAAAGGGGCAACTACTTCTTTTTATTGGGAGCAATTCATTTTGTTTATTGGGGGCAACTACTTCTTTTTATTGGGGGCAATTACTTGGACCTTTAATTTTAATTGAAAATTTACAAAGGGTTAGTGAGATCTTATTGGGGGCAGCTGCCCCCCTCATATGTAAGTAGATCCGCCCCTGGCCACGACCTGAACCATCATGGCGCCTGTCAGTGGGATAAGGATCACGTGGAGCACGTTCATGAACATGCGTAACATTTGCAGTAGGCAGAAGGGAATCAGTTGGTGCTGCTTCATTAATTTGCTGCTCATGTTCCAATAAAATGGGACGAAGTTCCGCTAGAGGTAGTGCCTTTTCACGTATCCGGATAGCAGATATAATATCTCCATAATCCGGCCCAAGACCTCTGAGGATATGAATAACCAAGTCCTCCTAAGATATGAGATTTTGAGCAAAGGCAAGTGCATCGGAGATTGCCGTCATCTCTGCCAAATAATAAAAAATCGATCTGTTTCCTTTGGTAGTCTTGGCCAGTGTATTTTTAAGGGAAATAATATGACCACAGGATGCACTAGCATAAGTGAGCGCTAGTGTATTCCATGCACCATGAGCGGTGAGTGCGGATGATAGGACATGTTGAATGGTGTCGAAGCAACTGCTTAGAAGGGCACTCAAAATAACTTTATCTTGTCGATACCAAATGGTATAACAAGGATTGGTCTGAGATTTTGCAGCATCCAGAAATTGATCCGGAGCAGTGATAGTACCATCAACATATCCTTCAAGTCCGAGGTCGACAAGAGCAGCATGTACTTGACATTTCCAAACTGGGTAGCTGGAAAATGTGAGTTTGATTGGGAAGTTGGTGGTTGCAGTGAGCTGAATCACTGGGGTGGCGGCAGTGATAGTCATCGGGGAAAAAATTATGCTCGTTTGAGGCTAGCTCTAGATACCATGTAAAGTATGAATGTATCGTATTGATTATAAATGCATTGTACAAGTGTATTTATATACACGTAGAGGCCAACTGTGAGAATTAATAAGATAATCATGACTAGCTATAATTATGAAGATAATAATGTATAATAACAAACTAGCTACGAAATGTAGTGCTATTAAGGAGAGCATATAGCTAGTCATGATTAAGAAGGAGGATTGACTTTTTTTAGATTAATAAGAGGTTGATAAATTTCCAATTCAGAACTATTGAATTGTGTTTTTAGAGTATCTGAAGTTCTGAACTTAAAAATGGTTTATATGCTGAAGAAAAAGGAGTGTCATTACGTAGACGACTTGTTGTTTTGTCTATAGATAAGCTTTGCTGTTTTGTCTTGTTGTTTCCGCGCGTCTCTCTTCCGTTTCCGATGTTCTACTTTTGGCAGAATAAGAAGCCACCCTAGTTTGTGGCTCTCCAGGTAAAGTTTAATTTTGCGTTCAAGGACAAGACCAATTACGTATCCATTCTATTCGAAGGATTTGGCAGAATTTCACGCTGACAAAAATGTGTTAAGAGTCTAATACTAGACCAAGCTCGATTTACCCAGGTGAAGAAAGTTCTAGTGATTGACATTACATAAAGTCTACCAGAGTTTGATAGTTACTAGGTTTGACTATAATAAACCAACTAAGAACAATTCAAATTTGCTAAGCTTAATGTTATATTGTGTCCAGATATGGCCCCTTCGTTGTTATATGTTGTATATGGTGGACATTGGAGTATGGATGAGAAAAGAGATTACACATTTGAAGGAAGTACTAGAAAGGTTACATCATTCGAGTGGGATAAGTCCAATTTGGACTTTGATTCATTTTTGAAGTCCATATACGAGGAGGTCGGTTGTGAACAGAACACACATAGACTGAAGGTATCGTTCCAAATTCCACGGTTTGGAAGAAGTATGTTACCTTACACTCTCGATAGTAATAAAGCACTTAGGACATTTCTTAGGGACCAAGAAGTAGACTCTACACTTTTAAACGTTGAAGTTACTGAGATAGAATCTGTAGAAGAAGTGGTTAGTTTGGCCGTAGATGACAAGGTAGAATCTTGCCAAGATGCTCACATTATGGCGCATGATACCTTTTTTGACAAACATGAGGGAAAAGAAGGCGATGAAATGAACAAGGAATTGAGGGGAAAGGATCAGATGTTGCCTCACAGTAGAGCCGAAAATGAAGGGGATCACAAAGGGAGAAAATCAAAGATGGATGAAATTGCTGAGAAAGGAGGATGTGGTAAAGCTCAGTCTGTCATAGAAGATAATGATGGCCCAGCTGTAAGTAAGAAAACAATGAGAGACAAACCTTTGGGTTTTAATGACCTACGAAAAGAAGACAAACATGAAAAAAATGATGGAAATGCAGCTTGTGCACGACCCCTGCGTCACCTACGAGCTAGGAATGCTAAGAATGTGAACTGTCTGTTTAAGCCAAAGATAAGAAAAAATGCCCAAATTGTAGCTCATGATACTTCAGCTATTGCACAACCCCTACGTCACCTAGGAGCTAGAAATGCTAAGAATGTGAGTTGTCTGTTTAAGCCAAAGATCAGAGAAAATGCCCAAATTGTAGCTCATGATACTTGCTTCGATGAAAACAAGGGAAATGAAGGCAAGAGAGTGAACACGGAAACGAGGGGAAAGGATCAAATGCTGTCTCCTAATAGGGAAAAAAAGGAAGAGTATCACAAGGAAGGGGATGACAGTAGGGGCAGAAAAGAAAAGATGATTGAGATTGCTCAGCAAGGAGAAGGGTGTGGTGAAGCTCAGTCTGAATATAAGAAAATAAGGAGAGGCAACATTTTGCATTTAAATGAAGACCGTGGTAAAGAAGATGAAAATGAAGATCGCAGGGGGAGAAGAAAAGCAAAAATGGTTGAGGTTGTTCAGAAAGGAAGGTGTGGTGAAGCCCAGTCTGAAAGTAAGAAAATCAGGAGAGACAAAATTTTGGATATAAATGAAGACCTAGGAAAAAACGACAGATACGAGGATGAGAAAGTAGAGGGGAATTGTGCTAACATACATCACCTTCAAGCTAAGAAAGCTACAAATGGGGACTGCCGATCTAAGCCAGATACAAACGATAAAGAGGTAAAAGATCTGACCTTTTTTCATAGTTGGGTAATTGATTGTTTATTTGAATACTTTTTTATTTAGTCGGGTAAATGATTACTTTTAGTAAATTCCATTTGACTTCCCATATGACAGGGAAATGAGATAGGGTCAAATATGTGCCACCAGTGCCAGAGGAATGATAAAGGAAAGGTTGTTCGTTGCACAGTTTGCAAGACTAAGAGATATTGTTTGCCATGCATTTCCACATGGTAAGAAAGTTCAGACATAAGGCTGTACTCATGTCTGTTTTAGTTCATGATTGACACTTTTAGCCAAACTGAATCTTTGGTGCAGCCATATAAGAATATAAGATCAATTATCATACCAGAGCTGCTAGCAATGGGTGCTAGTATTGTACTTGCTAAACGCTAACTATAGGAATACATAGGATAGCGTTCACAATGGAGTTGTTTGGATCCTAACTCTTTCGGTTGTATTTCACTTAAGTTTCGCTCATTTCTCCCAATGAGTTAAGGTCTTAGCGTTTTAGTTGACTCAGTGTGCTCTCATTCCATGAAAAGGTATCCTGGTATGACTGAGGAAGCTTTTGCAGAGAAGTGCCCTGTTTGTCTTCAAAACTGTAATTGCAAATCATGCTTGCGGTTGGAAGGATGTATAAGGGTTGGCTGTTTTTTACTTCTTTTCTTTTTTGGGTTATACTGTTGCTAATTCCCTTGGATATCAGCTGTACATGCTAATTACCTTTTTGCACTTTCGCTATTACCTGGGGTGAACTCCCAATATAGGTGTTGAAGTGTAGACGCTCTGAAGTAAGTAAAGATAAGAAGGTTGAGTACTCTAAGTATATCTTGCTCCTGCTTCTACCTTTCCTGAGACAATACAATTCAGAGCAAATAATGGAGAAGGAGATTGAAGCTAAGATTCAAAGTAAACCTTTTGTGTGGTTTTTGCTCCCCTAATAAAGATACATTGATATAATTAGATCGTGAATGTCTGATTTCTGATGTTTGGTGCTGTCCTGTATTTATCTTTACGATTTTGCTCCCTTATTATTTTGAAGGGGTTACCTTTGCTGATTTAGAGTTGCAAAAGGCGAACTGCAAGTGGGAGAGGAAGTACTGGTATGTTCAACTTGTTTTGGTGTGTTTTCTGTACCCCGACAGGTACGTTTTTATGTGATTCTTTGCTGAAGCATGTGCATTGTCACACATGGTTGCAGTAGCAACTGTAAAACGGCTATTGCTGATTTGCATCGAAGCTGTTCAAACTGTTCCTATGATCTTTGCCTTGCCTGTTCTCTAGATGTTAGGAATGAAAATTTGAAGGGTGGAACTAATGCTAAAAGAAAGTCCAAAAGAATCAATAAATTTGTTGAAAGTGGTAGAATGACTTGTCCACCTTGCAACATGGGGAGTTTGGAGTTGAAGCACATTTTTAAGGAGAATTACATTTCTGAATTGCTTGCAAAGGCAGAAGAAACAGTAAAGAAACTGAACTTGGATGGCATGCCAGAAGGTTCTCAGGGATGTTGTTCTTGCTTGAAATCTACCGACGAGGAAGATATTGGTAAAAGTAATACCGTAAGGAAAGCAGCTTCTAGGGAGGGTTCTGATGATAATGTTTTGTACTCTCCAGTAGCAGCTAAGAACATGCAGGATGAGGATTTGAAGCACTTCCGCTGGCATTGGTTGAAAGGAGAGCCGGTGATCATCAGTAATGTGCTGGAAACTACTTCAGGACTAAGCTGGGAACCAATGGTTATGTGGCGTGCATTCCGCCAGCTAAGAACTTTCAACCAAGTAATTGCTATTAACTGTTTGGACTGGAGTGAGGTCAGCACATATTTTAGTACACTTTTTCTATACTAATATTTGCACCGAGACAATAAAATCACAAAATTTTATTAGCAAGATTATTTATTTTTAGCTAATTTTGTTGAATGTATTTGCAGTATCGTGGAAGTTTCTTCTTTTATATCAATCATCTGGCACTGCTCAGTTTTTATTTTTGACATATTATTAGGAAGCAATATAATCATAGCCTCTTACTGATTTTTCTTTTTAACTTTTTTTGCAATTTATATGCTGAAAATGCCCCTTTATTTATGGATGACATCTAGGTTACAGTTAACATCCGCGAGTTTTTTAAAGGATACATGGATCTTCGGTATGAACGTCCTGGTTTGCCTAAAGTTCTGAGATTAAATAACTGGCCAACATCTGATTCATTTGAGGAACGCTTACCGCGTCATGGTACCGAGTTCGTAGACTTGCTGCCTTTAAAAACATATACAGACCCGAGATGCGGGTATCTAAATCTTTCTACCAAATGTCCTCCAGGGTATATAAATATGGGACCAAAGGCATTTATAGCTAATGGAATTCACAAGGAGCTCGGGCTTGGAGATTCTGTAATCAAGCTTCACTTTGATACATCTGATTCTGTATGCTGCCATGCCTCTGATCCTTTTCCCTTTGTCAGATTCCAATGTTGTCTTCAAGATTTTGCTTTTAGTTATCTGTATTCATGTCTCTAAGAATAGGCGGGAAGATGTAAAGGCCATTTTGGGGCAAATGACAGCTTACAAGTTGCAATAAACCCCTATGACCTCACCCATTCCCGTAAAAAATATCATATTACTTTGCTATGAGAGATACTGACTTACCACTGATTTGCAGATGATGTGCATATCTAGAGGATGATAGGGATCGACCTATTAGACTAATAAATAGAAGAGTTAGTTGTTAGTTATATTTCTGTTATTAACTAATAACTAGAGTAGGTTGTACTGGAAGGCTATAAATAGAATAGTATGGGAAGGAGAGGGCAAGCTGTTTTAGACTTTGTCTTGGGACTGGGAAGATTGAGATTACTCTCTCTCTTTGGGGGCTTCGGCCATTGTTACTGTTCTTGATTCAATAAAGCTTCTTGATAAATTTCTGTGAATTTCTCTGTTCTGGTGTTTAGCTCTAACATTGGTATCAGAGAACGTTACTTCCTGGAAACGGAGAATCGGAATCATGGAGGATTTCTACATGACACCGCAAATGGAAAAGAGAATGGACAATCTGAATCTACAGATGAAGGAGACGAACGCTAGGTTGGAAAGCATTTTACGTGACTGTGAGCGTCTAAATCAGGGCTTGCACCGATCGAGGAACACCAAACCTCATCGGCGTTCTGATAAACAGAGTCCATCGCAGTCGCTCACCAAGTCGCAGAAGGAGTCGTGAACTGTTTCGCACTCGTGAAAGGATTGGCGCGAAAAATCGGGGAAGCTCGCAGAAAAGGTTGAGAGCGGAAAAGTGGAGAAAGAGAAGCTCTCAACCCTAGAAAAGGAAAAGCGCTCAAACCTGGAGAAGGAGAAGCATGCAAAGGGCAAGGAAACGAGGACAGGGTTGGACGAAGTGCGCACCAAGCTGCGGCAACGTCACCGGCGAGGACGATCGAGGACTGTGCGTCGCTGCAGTAATTCGAAAAGCAAAGGTTCGTTGCAGTCACCAACGTCTTCTGGTCTTCTGGCTTCCACGCGAGCAGAAGTCCCTAGTTCTCAGGTTTCTTCACTCGCCGGATCTCACATCTCATCATCGCTTATACGTTCAGTTAAGGAAACAGACACTGAAGAGGAGGTTAATCAACCTACGGAAATTTCATCAGACAAAATGGGAGGTTCAGAAATACTTAAACCAGATATACTTACTTATGATGATATGAGCTATGCTAATGTATTAAATTTGAAACCCTTGATTGATTTCGTTCCTGAACTTGGATTGGGAGTTCCAATGAAGGGGCTGAACCAGATTGATGGTTTCCTAATTGATTGTGTTACCTCTATTAAGAACATTCAAGATAGATCGGGAGTAGGAATTACTGAAAATTGGAAGAAAAAGGTTGGTAATATTACTGAGGGTTACGCTAACAGATTCCAGATGTCTGACCATGAAATCAACCCTGCTATCTTCCAAATGGCCTTGATAAGTGGTGAACATGTAAGGATAATGCCATCAGTTTGTATATCACTTCAAGAAGGAGATGTAAGCTTAGACTATCGGTTTGATGATCCTGCTGTGACAAATTCTTATTCTGTGGCTAGAAGCTCATCTGCTAGGTCCCTGGTACTCGTAAGTGGCATTTACAGGGACTTTGTCAGCTCTTGTCTTGATTCTTCCATCTTCCAGCATCAGCAACAAGGATTGAATGATTTTAGTTCTTTAAATATGTTGACTGTTGGGAGAGAGGGTGTTATTGAAGTTCATGCAAACATCTGGGTGTTAGAATCTGGTGTTGAGAACATGAATTATTATTCATTGATCATCTATCAGGACCTACTGATGTCAACTACACTTTTTAAGGACGACTTGATTAAATTTTTTAGTCATGCTGTCTTGATACTGAATCCAAATGTTTTTTCTTCTGGCCTGGGCTCTTGGTCCTGTTTTCGTAAAGGAAATGATACATCTAATAACTCAGGAGGGTGGCATGAGAGGGCATACCACGTGAGAGGGTACTGCTATGTGCTAGTGGACAGTGATCAATTCATCTCAAGAGTTTCAATGGCACTGACCACGTTAGGGGAAGAAGTTGATCTAGAAAGAAATAGATCAAAGTGTGATGGTCCAAGCAAGGAAAATCATCATCATCATCATCATTTTCATTTACCCCAGTGCCGCAAAGGCTCCCACCTACGGTGGGGTAAGGGGAGGTCGGATGTACGCAGTCTTACCCCTGTACTAAAGCACAGAGAGACTGTTTCCGGATGACCCATAGTGAAAATCCCGTCCAAAATTGCATGGACTGACTGCTGCTTCATAACAAAGAAGCGCAGACAGTTTAGTGAGCCATTTTGCTTTATTCCATCATAATCTCAAGCCAAAAAATAATGAATCTTTGGCTCCATTGCAAATGATGGAAAATGAGGAGGAAAAATCTCTGAGAATTGATAAACAACCAGGGAGATACGGGGAAGGTTTCGACTGCCGGTTTTATAGGGCTATAAACTGTGAGTACATTATGATTCTCAACAAACCTACTGGAAGATCAACTAAGTCTCCTTTGTCTCCTTGGGTTCTGGCTGATTGTTCCTCAGAATATCTGGATTTGATAAAGTCGTTTACTTACTTGGTTCTTGCAAAACCAATTGGAGCATCAAGTCCAAAACAAGATGGAGAGTCAATAAGTGATGTTGTGCTTCTTCAATGGCTTAATGATTTATTTGAAGAGTTCATAAGTAAGCACAGGGAGTATTCTGCCACCAGGATTATGCTTCTGCTCCTACTGACAGTGAAGAACAGGAAAATGAAGTTTCAAGTACTGAAGCTACAAATCCAGGATTCAGTGAGGTATTGGGAAGGAAGGGGCATAAGAATGAAGATGAAGCTGAAAGTTGCGGCTGTTTCCTATCACCCACCTTGAGGGCAAGGTGGATGTTTAGGGAGGGAGTATTGATAGGGATAGACCTATTAGACTAATAAATAGAAGAGTTAGTTGTTAGTTATATTTCTGTTATTAACTAATAACTAGAGTAGGTTGTACTGGAAGGCTATAAATAGAATAGTATGGGAAGGAGAGGGCAGGCTGTTTTAGACTTTGTCTTGGGACTGGGAAGATTGAGATTACTCTCTCTCTTTGGGGGCTTCGGCCATTGTTACTGTTCTTGATTCAATAAAGCTTCTTGATAAATTTCTGTGAATTTCTCTGTCCTGGTGTTTAGCTCTAACAGAGGATGATTATGTATGCAATTTGTTTTATATGGTATCATATCTCATTTTTTAAGCCTATAAGTCTGCTGATTTATATCTTTGATGTAGGTAAATGTCTTAACGCATAATCAAGGAACAAACCTAACACCTGAAAAGCAGGTTAAAGTGCAGCATGCTATCCATGATCAGAACTCTGTAGTGATAGTTGATAAGGCTGAAAAGAGAGAGAATGATATCCATAAGTTGAAAGATGAATGCTCTACGCTGGGTAAAAGGAAAATTTTCACTTGTGCAAACCCAGAGAAAAATCAGTATACTGATGGAACTGTTGGTGATATTAAGAAAGACGGTGAAGCTCAGCAGGAAGGGGATCCAACCGGGAACAGCCGTGATGAGTTTGAAGAATCTGATGGTGGTGCTCTTTGGGACATCTTTAGAAGAGAAGATGTCCTTAAGCTTGAAGAATATATCAGGGAACACTTCAAGGAGTTCAGGCATATATATAGTGGCCAGGAGCCACAGGTACAAATGTTTGCATGATATTAATATGTATTTAGAATGATGTGCTTAACATTTAATATGGGGGACATGCATAATTCTTCATGATTTTTTTTTCTTACCGTGTATGTTTTCTTAGGTTGTTCACCCAATTCATGATCAAAGTTTTTACTTGACCATTGAGCACAAGAAGAGACTCAAACAAGAATATGGTAAGTTTAATCATACCACAATAACTGTGTTAATGACCACTGTTTTATTTTCATATTAATTACTCATCAATAGTGCTATAATAAACTTTACACTTTTACAGGGGTTGAACCATGGACATTTGTTCAAATATTAGGGGATGCTGTTTTTATACCAGCAGGCTGCCCTTTTCAAGTTAGGAATTTGAAGGTTTATTCCCATTTTTGTTTTGTAGTTTCAAAAACATTTTATTTGAACAGAAAACACAGTTTTCCATTATCCAGAAAAAACTGGAAGTTTCCGAAGTAGCAGGCCCTTAGTTTTCTTTTGTGCTTAAATTGTTGCTCGAAGGAGACTTCTGAATAAAATTGCCGTCAACTGTTCGCAGTCATGCACAAATGTTGCTCTTGGCTTTGTGTCACCAGAAAATGTCTCCCAGTGCCTTAGATTGACCGAGGAAACCCGCACACTTCCCCAAAATCACAGTGCCAAAGAAGATAAACTGGAGGTTTGGTTTCTTTTCACATTTCCTGAAATTTCTACTGTTCTTCCCTAGTTTTTTATCCCCAACGCATTACATTTATCTTGAAATAATTGTTTTACTTGTTTCCAGCACAGGCCATCTTTTTATGGATTGTTTTTTCTTTTTCTTTATGAATATGAAAGGCATAAATAAAAGAAAAATGGTGATATGTGCCTCCTTTGTTCAATTGAAGTATTTTTGTGTGGGAAAAACCATCAAACAGGCCGTCCTACTATACTCAAAATGGCAATTAAGCCCTCGTACGACGTACATAAATATCACCCATTTAAGCACTCCAACTTCAGAAAACTTAAATTTGAATTTTTATCCGGTAAACATATGGTTAGCAGGTTAAATAGACACGTGGCGATCTATGTGGCACAAATATTTAAGTCCAATGTTAAATGCACACATGGCTTGGCTGATCCCCATGGACTGGCCAATTCTTCCATCTTCTTCTCCTCATAATAAAACCAACAGTGAACGGTCCAGAGGTCCAGCTCCACTTCTTGCTGAAATCAGTCTCAAGCTCAGCCAATATTAACCGTCCGTGCCGCTCCTGGATCTCCCTACCATCACCATAACCTATTGTGGAAACAAGCCTCCTTGGACACCATCAGGAGGACGATTCTTCTTCATCCTCTACTTCTTCTGCAACAACTCCTCGCCTTCACGCCTGTCATCTTTGACTCTAGTTATATCGCCCGGCCATGAACCGTCCAGCAACCAGGTGAAGTAAGCGTACAACACCAGTTTCGGGCTGATTATGAACAGATCCCTCACCTATCTCTTAACTTCCTTGACTTCCTTGTGGTCTTTGAAGCTAGAGACGAGTCAGGGGAAAGAAGTGTGAACGGTGTCATCATTTCCGGCGGACCTTCCAACTTTGTCCACGGATTCCTTCAAATCCTTGGCGTCCCTCCGGCCTTGTCCCTTTAAATCGGTAGCCTCCTTGAAATCATGAATCCATCCGGAAACAATTTGTTGAATTCCTCTGCCAAGTCGCGGTGGTCGTCAGGCAGAGACCTTTGAAGTGGCGGTTTCACGGGTCGTTTTCCCATCCATGAAACCCCTTGAAAGGTGCTGAAAAGGGGTGGCGTTTTTGGGAAGCTGTGCTGCACCCTTTTGATGAAGGGCGTCTCTTTCTCACATTCTTGAATTGCAAACATTGAAAGAAAAGATGAAGAATATAGTGCGCTAAAATTGTTGACCCAAAAAGAAATTAAATTTGGAAGACCACATAAACCCTCGGGATGTTTTTTTTTTTGGTTTGAGGGTTTAATTGAGTGATTCAATACTACAATAGCTTAATTGCCATTTTCAGTATAGTAGGAGGGTCCTATTAATAGTTTTCCCTTGTCGTCATCGTCTTCATCATCATCATTACCCCAGTGCCGCACAGGCTCCCACCTACGGTGGGGTAAGGGGGGTCGATGTACTCAATCCCACCTTTGAACTAAAGCACAAAAGAGATTGTTTCCGGATGACCCATGGTGAAAATCGCGTCGAAAATTGCATGAACTGACGACTGCTTCACAACAAAGAAGCGCATACAGTTTAGTGAGTCATTTTGCTTTATTCCATCATATTCCCAATAGATGGAGAAATAGTTTTCTCTTGTGTTAAAAAATATTAACTAACACTCGTATATTTAAGGGTTCATCGGGGGGGGGGGGTCAAGGAGGATGTTATTCTTAGCTTTTGGCTGCATTTTTTGTCCTCAATAAGTCCCCTTACAGGTTTGCTTCAGTGTATTTTTGCCTCCCTTAATTTGTGAACAGTGAACCATTAGCTGTGGTTAGCATCCTGCATCCCAGCTATTCTCCCGCACGCTCATGTCATACAGGAGGGTATGGCACACAAGTATGGCTGACTTCCATAAAATTGGGAGTTTTATTGCTTGTGTTTGTACCTCCCGTTTGTTTATCCTTTACAGTCCCATCTCTAATCACTTGGTCGATGTTCTTTTAAAAAAAGAGCACCACAGAATTTTGTTATCAAAGAAACTAAGAAAGAATGACACAAATGTCACTTCTAGAGTTTGTGATGGCAGAAATTTGATGAGATTTACCGTCTTTCCAAAAAAGTGATTTAATAACTTCGAAGCCCATAAGCCATTCAAATTTCTTCTCCCTCTATCACTGGGGCAGCTGCCCAGCCTCACTTCTGGCTGCCGCAAACAGAAAATAATTTTAGATATTTTTTCCAAATGATCACCGGAAAAGTTGTTGGCAAAAAGTGGCTGAGTAACAAGAATTTGTTGCCAGTTTGCCACTAGTCACATTACATGTGGGACAATATCATTGATGGTGGCGGTGTGTCACTACTGGCGCCACTAGTCCAGTAGCAATGACATTAAAATCATTGAGCGTGACATTAAAAGTGAGATGTAAAGTCACTTGATTGGAATTTTAAAAAGTAGTTTCATTTACTCCCTCCGTATTCTTTTGTTTCTTACAATTGTTTTTTCACAAATGTTAGGGTAAAATAGTAGGGGAAGTGAATAGTGTAGAAAAAGTAAGAGAGAAGGTGGAAAAGTATAAAAGAGAAGATGAAAGTAGAAAAAGTAAGGGTATTTGAGTATTTTTAAATGAAAAACTTACCAAAAAGGAAAAGTGTTGCAAAAATTTAAAAGGAAAAATTGAAAATAATAATACCAATTATTGCCGGTCCGCTAATAATAATCTCAACTATTGATTATTATTGTATAATCCCAACTATATGGACCGTCCGCCAATAATGGTCCATAACCGCTTATTACCTGCTCTAAAAAGTGAATTTTTAATAGAAATTAAGCGTAAAAATTAAAATTCGGGATTATTTATCGGGATCACCTGCTATATCTCTTAAGAAACTATAGGAATTTATTTATAGTCGGTCACCTCGGACTATTATTGGCGGAAGAGCCTTAAAGTTGGGATTATTATGAAATAATAGATAGTTGGGATTATTATGAGCGGACCGCCAATAGTTGGGATTATTACAATTAATTTTTCCAATTTAAAATCCTTCTCAAAAAAGAAAGTGTAGCAAATAAAAGCATACAGATGGAGTATTGTATTAGTATTATTGGAGGAAACCCCCCTTTTTAAATAAAATCAAAATTTAAACAATGTATGTATTCTGTTGTAGTACTCAAAGACTTAGGTCTGAATGTCTGATGCTGAATTTAGTTGGTTACTTATTCATGAAAACGTGGTCATAATTAGATGCATTAGTAGTGCAGAAATGGGGGAACATGAAATAGGACTTGCAAAATGCAGCAAACGATTTTTTTTTTTAAATATCTAATAATTTAAGACCATCTAACCCTAATTGGCTCATTCCTCTTCTTCAATGGTGTTGGAATTTCAACCCAATGGTGTAGCACTAGTTTCCTCCTGGGCGTTGCTGCTCCAGTGTGACATTTTAATACATGATTATTTAAAAAAAAAATACAAAACATTTCTAGCCACACTTCCCACCATGAAGAATCATAAAGACCACAAATTTCATAAAAGTTCTATCAAGAAATCCCATAAACAAAAATAATGTCCATCAAGAAATCCGGTCTAAATGAAAAAAAAGGAAGTACAAGGTCTCTAAAATGCTAAATGTTTAGGGAAACTTGTTTCCCAATTCTTTTAAAATAAATGGTATGCAAATGAGAATTTGAAGTTTCTAAGTTTCCTACATGTTTCCAAGTTTTAGAAACGGTGAACCTTGAGCTTGCTGAGTTGCCATGCTTCTTAGGTGCATAATTGATTACAACCACAGACGTACCAAGCAAGGGTTGATTGGATTAGCTCACTAGAATATTTATTTTCTTCTTCGTTTCATTGCCAAAAACTATGTACTACCATGTTTTTTTATAAATACAACTATACAAGCTAAATTTGTAGATGGAAAGTAGAAAGATTTAACAAGTGTTTCTCATTTTGGAACAGGTGAAGAAAATAATGGTGTATGCTGTGGCTGAGGCACTCTGGACTTTGGATGAAGGTGCACGAATGTACCCAATGTAGTTCCCTTCCTCCATTTTATTTCTATACCTTAGGTATAGTCGTATAGAAATGGTTGTCCCCCTCTCTTCCTTAATCCGGGGTACTTGTACTTCCTCTCTTATGTTTGCCTCTTAGGGAGTGTTTATGTTTGCTTATGCTTCTTAAAAGCGATTTATTTAAGAGATTATTGCAAAAATGATTTATAGTAAAAGTAGGTAGTGTATGTAAATAGAAGTGATTTGAATTAAAAGGTAGAGTTGAAGTGTTCGATAAAAAAGTGATTTGTGATATGATATTTAAATAAAAGTACAAAAATGCCCTTATCATCATAAATCATATGATGCATACATGATATATTGCTCTCAAAATATCGTTGTGTGTGTATATATATCATGAAAATATTGGATATTGCTTTTAAATGAATGATTTATCCTCCTTAAGAATACTCCAAAGCAAAAGCCGTAAGAATGCCCCCATGTACTTCTTGGATTTGTCATCATACCAACTTTTTGATGTTCCTGAAAAAAGTTGAATCCACAATCCCAATACCCCCCATGCTCCGATCAGACAAGATATTTGGGGGGTTGTAAATCACAGTGAAACAGTCAGTAGAACGATGGTAGATTTTGTACTCGTGCGCACCACAGATTCAACCCAACAAACAAGAATCATACCAACTTTTCCAAAATACCTATGGTGGCACATTTCTCCGGCATTTCCGCAACGTACATAAAAACTTATGGTGCTTCCTAGCCTCGGTTATCTACTTAGTGAGTACTCGGTGAGTATTCGACAAGTACTCACAACTCGAGTGGTGACCTTGCTGATTAGGTACTTGACTCGGTCTGTATATTATTTATTAGTTATTCGTCGAGTACTCGATGGGTTTCTCAACTCAATGAAGTTTTCAACTCGTTGAGTTACTCGTACTTACTCGGTCACATAGAATTTGAAAATCTATGATACAAAGTCTAGGTTTAACAGAGTTCTTGACATTGGCTACCCTCCTAGAGTGATGATATGACTTGGGAACAAGTATGAACAACACAACAAGCCACTGAGGCACGAACAAATACAAGGAGTCAAAACAGAAGGAAGCATGTGAATGCATCACAATCTGTGTGCATGTTGCTTGATATTGATTTAGATTTAGATGATCTGGAAGCGGAAGAGGAAGAACAAGTGGGGAACGTGACTACTAAAGATCTATTTGGAGAAGATCTGGTTGGAGACATGGGAGATGAAGAAGAAAATCACAACCAGGAACCCAATGAAGGTCAATATTGGACCAAATTATTAGACTATTGTTTTTCATGAAACCTTAGAATTTTTATGACTGTCTACTTCATCATTAGGATTTTTATCATTTTATTCCATTTCTATGCATTCTAAGACAATTTTAAGAATATTATATTTCTATAATCTTGGGCAGTATGGGCACCTATCTTATTAAATTTAATTAATACATGCTGAGTAATCATCGAGTAATCTCGAGTAATTGATCTTACTCGTTACTCGGCCCTTGATCGAATTGCTATCGATAAGCGAGTTAACTACCTAGTTCCCAGCTATGACCATGGCGGTCGGTGAGGGTAGGCCATCCTAAAAAAAGTACGAAGCATATTATTTGAGACTTGGGAGAGGATGAAAAGTAATTTAAGATATTGGTGAATAGGTTATCCTTACAAATGTCCTTGAAGCTGGAATAAATTACAAAAAAAAAAACTAAAAGCTCTTAAAAGCATCTCCAAGGGAGCTTTGAGCTTTTGGATTAAGTGCTAAAAATTAAGTAAAGTTGAGGTTTATGAATTGTGAACATCATTTTTAGCTTTTGTCATTAAAATTGTTGAAAAGCACAAGCTATTGCACATAGGGATGGATCGGGAGTGGTCGGATCGGCTCGGTCTCGGAACTAGACCGCCACTGTGCAGTACTGGCCCGACCCTTGTGTAACACTTGAGATTAATTTAAAAGGATTAATAGTACTATTCATACCAACAAGATGCAGCTCCTTTTAAGGGAGCTCGTCACCCAAGAACTCCAAAGTTAAGCGTGCTTGCATTAGTCTTGGGATGGGTGACTCCCTGTGAAGTTTCTCAGGGCATGCATGAGTGAGCACAAAGTGCGTGAAAAAGGTTAATGGCGGTTTGTGAAGACAGTACTAGAGATCTGGAGGGTGTGTAGGGTAGTAACTACTTCGGGCACTACGGGGCAGGGTGTTATAGGTGGTATCAGAGCAACCCTGCGACAGTGTGTTGACCCGTTGGATATTGGGTGCGCACTTAGCGTGGGAGGACTCTGGGATTTGATTGAGATTTGAGATTGGTTTATGGGCGCAACGAGGACGTTGCGTTTCTAAGTGGGGGTGATTGTAACACTTGAGATTAATTTAAAAGGATTAATAGTACTACTCATACTAACACGATGTTAGGAAATTGATGTAACTTACCTCGAAAGTACAACAGCGGGAGTTTAAAATTTTTCCAAACAGATCTTCCCTGATTATGACAAAACAACGAATATGACAGTAATAGTAGATCTGAGATAGAACTTACAGATCTTCCAGTCTATCGGTGATAATCCTTGACCTTAGGTATCCACGTGATTTCTCCTTTCCGAAAGAACTACGGTTAGATGTCCCTAAGAGAAAGGCTAGGAAATCTCTTCGCAGGGAAATAAACTGGTAATACTGAATCTGAAAAATTGGTCTTTAATTATAAAGGAGGAGGATGTATTTACACTAGTTCTAAACTAATTCACCAATCACAATGAAAGTCTTCCTAATTAATGAGTTCTAGTCCAACTAGGACCAATAATTATTGTACTTAATTAAATGAATAAAATAATATAAACAATTATTAGAGGGGAGGATGACTCACGTCATTCCTTCCTCTCTTCATATTTATTTATATTCTAATTTTCTTATAATTCTAAATTATAAAGAAAATTGTCATATTTATTTAATTAAATTTACATCTTATTTAAATAACTAAATAAAGTAAATAAAACAATAACAAGAGAGATATCAGGGATGGCTTCTAACGCCACCCTGCTTCTTCTCTTCTTATTATTATTTTATTTTGTATTTTCCTTTTAATTCCAAATTACAAAAGAAAATATCAACTTTACTTAATAATAAATACATCTAAATTAAGTATAATAAATCTAATTTATCTTTCTTAATTAATTCTATCAAATAGAATTCTCTTTCAACATTATGAATTAAATATATTAATCCAATTAATAAATAACTCATCTTATTTTCAGCATTATGAATTAAACATCATTTAATCCAATTAATAATATTTAACTCCTTCTAACAATTCAATCGGAAGGTATAATCACTAGTTGTGTGACCCATAGGGCCTTATATATTAAGCACTAATCAAATTAAGGTCTTACCGAATCCCTAGACGATTTTCCAGACAAACTTAATATATAAGGACGTTTGCGAGGACTATACAAACTCCCTGTAATATAGAGCTCATAGTGATACGGTCCTTTCATTCAACGAACATTCAACTAAGTCTAGAACTTGATATTGTGTCTATTCCAATAACTTAGTCTCTATGTCTCAATCTTTCCAGATGATCCATAATGATCATATTCGATATCCAAAACGAATATATCTTTGAATTGGCCAATGACTTTATGATCCATCTAGATATGAGAAGTAGAATGTTCTCTCTTAATCTATTATGAGGAATGAATTCTTTCTTGGCTCAAATACTACTTCATGTGCTTCGTGATGCACCCAACACATGCCGTATCTACCCCGATCGAAGTGCAAGCGTTGATCATGGTCAAAGTACATCACTTCACACATGTAGTACGTATTGACCTCAAGTCAGAGGACTATTACACCACTCTATACGCCGATAATCCCATAGACACATGAATAGAACTTATCAAATGGTTTCTCGGTGGGTATGTCAATATTCTCTAAAATATCTATGTGACCATCATGAATTACAGGAACTCATAGTTGTGAGATCAACTATACTTTCTAAAAGTATGATGCAGTCCACATACCAATCTTATCGCATATCATCAATATCCCATTCTTGATGATCATTGATTGGGGCTTATTTTGGGACCTTATGTTATATCATATAAGCTCTCACTTACTTATTGACAACATAAGTCCAAGGGAACACAATTATGAATAAGATATTGACAATCGAAATACTTAATCATCAATGTGTAATACCGTATATATCAAATATATAAAACTGAATGTGATCAAGTACATATATCTCTAAAAAGTGATTGTCGCTAGGACATATATACTATCAATCTCCCACTTGGCCTAGTGCCAATCAATGATGCGTCTAACACCTAGACTCTCAAAAGCCTACAATGTTTATCGCATCTCAAAGGTTTGGTGAATGGGTCAGCCAAATTGACCTCTACGGGAAGGCATTCTATTGCAACTTCTCATTTTGCTATTTGTTATCAAAATATGATAGCAAACCGGTATTTTCTAGTTCCTTACTTTGCATCTTGGTTCCTTAGCTTATGCAAATGCACCGATACAATCACAATAACAATTATTGGATAACTGTCGCTAGGAACCACCCCTATTTCTTTAAGGAACTAACGTATCTAAACGCTTACCTATGTTGTATCAAATGCAACAATTTACTAGGCTCTAGTTGTCGAATTTACAATAGTTTTTTACTTGCAACTCTTGCAGCATTACTATTACATTGAGACTAAAAACGTATACTGACGGTGACTCGTAGTTTTTCTTATCATACATGAAACTAGTGCTAGAATAATTAAAATTCTACTTGTCCTTTCTGTCTACCATAGACAAAAGATATTCCTGAAGATTTTGGGTGACCATTCTTTCACTGACTTCAATGAGGGGATATCATTCTCTATGATCAACATATATGATTATAAAGACTACGCTATCCTCGTTGCACACTCTAAACACGCAAGCACCCTCATTTCATTTGATGAGGTCAAACGATTTGACTATTTCATCAAAATTAATATTTCAACTCCTAGAGGCTTGTTTTAGCCCATAAATATATTTCTCTAATTAACATAGTGATTTAGAATTTGACTTGGATGCAAAAAAATTCAGGTTGTACCATGTACACCTCCTCCTTGAGGTTTC